CTGTTCCCAGAGTCAGAACCAGACACGGAGAAGCTGCATTCAGCTTTTATGCTCCTTATATCTGGAACAAACTCCCGGAAAGCCTCAGATCAGCTGAAACACTCAGTTTATTTAAATCCAGGTTGAAGACTCACCTATTCTCAGCTGCATTTGAATAAAGCACCAAATCCATGCGTTTAAGCTTAAATTTTAAAATGTACTCTTTTTTTTCATTTTAAATCATGGTTTTTATTTGTTTCTGTTTTTTAATGTCTCTGTAAAGCACTTTGAATCACCTTGCTGTTGATTGTGCTATATAAAGAAACTTGCCATTCTACTGATTTACATTTTCATATTATTACTGTCAGACTCTATTGTATTTTAAACTTCACAGTTTAAAATTATTAATCTCATACTGGGTCTTTGTGAAGCACATCAGCTCATCTAGTTTATTTTTTCGTTTCTCTCCCTTTTTAAGCCAACTTTTTTCTAATTGGCTATCCTTCACTAATAGAAGGTTTGAACAGCAGTTGGGTGGGGCTGCTGTTCCTGAGATGACTGTATTCATCACACCCCCTATCTTTGGCATCATACAGAGAAAAGAACTGAATAAAACCATTTAAAGCAGAGTGCTTAAAGACATCTGAAGCCTGCACATATGCTGCACCAAACTCTAGCGATGGTTATCCAACCATTAACCATCCAAAACTGTAATGCTGTTTCGTTGTGGCTGTTCTTCTGTCATCTGTTCCCTTTATGTGGGGTTGCCACAGTGGATCATCTGCCTCCATCTCATCCTCTCCCTAGCATTTGTCTGTCACACCAACCTTCTGCACGTCCTCCTTCACTACATCTAAGAATCTTCTCTGAGGTCTTTCTCTTTTCCTGCCGCTTGGTAGCTCCATTTTCAACATCCTTTTGCCAATTTATCCACTCCCCCTCCTCTGCACATGTCCAAACCAGCTTAACATTGCCTTTCTCCACACTGATCAAACTGAGCTCTCCCTGTGATGCACTCATTTCCAATCATGTCCATCATGGTCACTCATAATGAAAATATTAATATGATCGACTCTGCCACCATTTTGTCAGTGCCACCATTTTCAAATCTCATATCACAGCAGGTCTCACTGCCATCTTGTAAACTTTCCTGACACTCTCGCCCACTCACTCCACCCTGCCTGCGCACTCTTATTCACCCCTCTTGTGCAATGTCTGTTTTCTTGGGTGGTTGATTCCATGTATTTTGCTGCCTTTGCTTGTTGCAGCTTCACTGTTACACCTGCTTCTCTCTCATTCTACGTTCCTCTTTTCTCCAGTGCATATCTCACAACTGAGAATACGCTTTTTTTTTTAGCTGCATGGCCACCAGCTCGCAGAATTAAAAAGAAATTGCAATCTTGCTCAGTGAGAGTTTGTTTATTTGAAATAAACTCCTCTGCCGAAAATATGGAAGCCTTTACAATCACTATAATCACTATAATCACAAAAATTACATCTATTATATTGTTTCTCCTAAGCTGATGACTTGGGGGTCCGTGGTCCACAGCAGCAGAGGAAACACTATAACAGAATTTGATGTGCAAACAACAATAAAATGAACCACATGAGTTCAAAAAACTTTTGTATTATCAGATTCTGCTTAACTGAAGTATCTTCTTTGCACATTTCATGGTCACTAAAACACGAAGTTTCATCATTTTTTCATTGCCTTAAATAACGAGAGATGTTTATTTTCTTATCAGCAGTGAGACAATTATTTTTCTCACTGTCTTTAAAAATGTTTTGCACGTGATTATTACAAAAACACTCATCAGATATCACTATGATGTGTAATGCTTAAGATTTGGGAACTTTGCAGAGAATTCAGAAAATGCTTCCCTCTCATGTCACTGAATCATTCCTCACAGGAAAGGTCAAACATCTGAGGATGCCTGAGGAAAGACCGATTTAAACACATAATGGAGTAGAAAAGGAGTTTTTTGAAAGCGTTGCTACTGGATTACAGCAGATTTTACAGATCATACCCAGCTATAAACACGACCGCTTTAGATCTCAGCTGAAAAATGACAGTAGCCCGTCCACCTGCTGTGGGAGGACGGAGTTACCAGGCTTTCATATCAAAACTCACAGAAAAAAAAGGGGAAAAAAAAGAAAAAAATTGGCCTAAAATAAAAAAAAAAACGGAAATTTTTTTTTTAGGTTTGGTTCTTATGAGCCAGCCCAGATCAAACAGAAACATAAGTGGACTGTTGTAAAACTGTGTTGACTTTAGAATATTGCTGTAACAGAGCTCATAAAAGCCCTGAGCTAACAGTCTGTGCAGGACAAACCACATTGAGTTTAATATCTGGGGGTAAACAGACAAGCACAACACACTGTACCACAGAGACTGTGTAGTCAAGTCAATGTATTTGGACAAACAAGACAAAAATACTCAAGTTTTCAACTACAGAACTAAACTTTGTTTCTATTCTGCTGACTTAGTTTTCTCTACCTAACCTCATGCACAGTAAATTTTTTCAAATACAGCTAAAATAACAATAATAATTAAAAGTGGTCATTAAGGATGGCCCAGTGAACAGGATAACAAGACTAAAATTATGTTGTGTATTGAACAGTTACATACATATACCGTATATGAAAATGGTTTCTGAGATTTCTGTCTTGTGCTGCACTGAGACGCCGTGGGTAGTGCCGCTGTTTATAATGTGCAGTGTGGGTTTGCTGCAGGCTCCAGACTATAAATATAAGATGATTTCTTTTGCTATAGTTTTCTACGCTATGATAAACTTTAAAGCTCACTTTAGCTGCACTTGTGATGCCAGGACGTCTTTGGGAGGCTTTATATCACAGTGACTGTGCATGTTTTTCTCACTAGAGAAGAAAAACATTTGGACAGGCGGTACATTTCAGTCTGTATTTTATGATCCCATTAAAGGTGAAATATTATATTCAAGCTTACAACAGGAGCACACTGAACAAGCAGTCTGTAGTCTTGCTGTATGTCTGTGCGTGTGTCACACTTACGTTTCAGATCATGAAATATAATTTAATATTTGACAAATAGAAGATGAGTACGTACACTCGGAATACAGGAAATACCCTGCAGGAACGAGCAGGAAACAAACAAGCAGACTACACAGTACAACAAACAGAAGCAAACTGAAGATTTAAATACACAAGAGCTAATGAAGGAAAAGGAAAGAAGTCACTGCCGTCTATCAGTCTGGAAAGGGTTACAAAGCCATTTCTAAAATTTGGGACTCCATTGGACCACGGTCCACAAATGGAGAAAACTCAGAAAAGTACTGAACCTTCCCCAACTTTCCCAGCCTACCAAAAGTACTCCAAGAGTGCATCGACGACTCATCCATGAGGCCACAAAAGAATCCAGAACAACATCTAAACTTCTGTAGGGCTCACTTCACTCAGTTAAGGCCAGAGTTCATGATTCAACAAAAAGAAAGAGACTGGGCAAAAATGGCATCCATGGAGAGTTTAAAGGAGAAAACCACTGTTGACCAAAAAGGACACAAAGGCTCGTCTCACATTTGCACAAACGTCTTGATGATCCCCAAAACTTTCTGGAAAATATTCTGTGGACTGAGGAGAAAAAAGTTGAACTTTCACCATCTGGTGTAAAACTAGCACAGCATTTCATTAAAAAAAAAACACCATCTGAAAAGTCAAGCATGGTGATGCTAGTGTGATGGTCTGGGGCTGCTTCTGGGTGACTTGCTCTAAATGATGGGACCATGAATTCTGCTCACTGCAAAGAAATTCCGGATGGAGAATATCCAGCCATCGGTTCATTTCCTGAAGCTCAAGAGCAGTTGGTTTATACAGCAGAGTAATGATCCGAAACACAGCAGCAAGTCCACCTTTGAATGTCTCAAAAAAAGAAAAACAGAAAACAAAGAACAAAAGCAAAATGAAGGTTGTGAAGTGGCCTTGTCAAAATCCCAACTCAAGTCAGATTCAGATGCTTATGGATGACCTTAAACACGCTGTTAAAAAAAGTCTCCAGTGTGGCTGAACCAAAGAACAGTGGATCAAAATTCTTCCACAGCGATGTGGAAGACTCACTCCCAGTTATCACAAACTCTTGATTGCAGTTCTTGCTGCCGTGGGTGGCACAACCATTTACTAGATTACGTTTCACACAGGGTCGGGTAGGATTGGAAACTTTTTCCCTTACTAAACGAAATCCTAATTTAAAAACTGCATTATATATTTACTCTGGTTATCTTTGTTTAATTAACATCAAACTAACTAAAAAGACTTTAATGATCTGAATAGTAAGGGGGAAATACCATATGTGTCTGTACCACATGTGCATATAATGCCTACCTTTGTATTTCTGTGCTCTAGGCATTGTGTCCCTCATCTCTCTGGCTGTCCTCTCCTATGAGCGCTACAGCACTATGATGGCTCCCACTGAGGCGGACTCCTCCAACTACCGTAAAATCTCCCTTGGCATCATCATGTCCTGGGCGTACTCACTTATCTGGACCCTGCCGCCGCTCTTCGGCTGGAGCCACTACGGCCCAGAGGGACCTGGGACCACCTGCTCCGTGGATTGGACAGCCAAGACAGCAAATAACATCTCTTACATCATCTGTCTGTTTATTTTCTGCCTCATCGTGCCCTTCCTGGTGATTGTGTTCTGCTATGGAAAGCTACTGTCTGCCATCAGACAGGTGAGTCAATATGGGGATGGAGGAGACTTTCAGTCACCTTGCAGGACTTGCAGAGGAGAGCCTGTCCTTTTTGTGTGGGAAAATCCCCTCAGATCAGCTGCAATACTCAGACTAGCCTCGCTGGCACCTACAAAAATACCATGTTCTGAATCACGATATGATTGGCTGACTTAAATAAGCAAGCAGTTGAACAGCTGGACCTAATAAAGTGGCTGGTGGGTGTATATCAGCTGAACATTTAGGCGAATGTTTTTCTAACATATGTCAGTGTTGTGCTTGCAGCTTATAGAGTGGTAACATTACTCATATGTGACTCAGCAGATGCTCTCAGTGTAAAGAGTGAAATTAAATCCTGTCTACACCTCAAGACACTCAATATTCTAGTAAATCAAACAGGCAATGTGAAAAAGCACAAAGCAAAAACAGAGATTCAAAGTCTTCCCAGCTTTACTTAGAACAGCAAAATCACAGGTCACTGATTCAGAATCATTTCCAGAGCTGCATATATGCACATCAGAACTACTTTAACAGTGAATGAAAAAGAAAGAAAAAATCTTTGAAAACCATACAGAACAGTGATTCAACCATTTCTGGTTTCTAGCAGTTAAAGCAATAGTTTTCAGTTTGAATAACTTTCCTCCAGTGATGTGAACCAGTGAACCAAAACCTACAGCTGGTTTATATACTCATTTCTATAGCAGAGCTAATTATGGTTTGGAACCTCAAACTGGTGAAACATTACACTGAAATGACCATCGGTAAGTGCGTGCCTGTCTTTGGGCCACAGGACAGCTGCACACACACCAAACGTACACACACACATCTTTTAGTATCTGAATCAGCCTAAAAGCACAGAGACTTTTAAAGTAATGGTCTCTACACAGGGTTTGTGTATCACATTATTTTTCTTGTCTTTCCAGCTAGTTTGAATTAGCATCCTGAGTAATGTTTTCAGTTGCTGGTAGCAATAAAGAGCCTAATTTACATAACGTGAATTTACATAAGTGCTTAACAACTGAAAATAAAGTGTACAATGCTGCGGTAGCCCGAGCATAACAGATTACTTATTACTATAAAATGACTTTAGGTGAACAATGTCTGTGAATGATAGCACGATCCGCTTGTTCCTGTTTGTTTTTGCTTCGTTTTGTCTGTGCTGAAGAAAGTCTCTGGGCCTCAGTCTTCGTTATTCTATGGAGACAAGTTGAAATGTTGTCTGACATGCGACAGGTAATCCTGCTCTTTCTACGACTACATACACTCATACTTGTATTGATTAGTGTCCCTGACACTGACAGTTTCTTAATGAAATCACAAGTGGTGATTGTGGACTAAGTGTTTTTTAGGAAGAAACATGTCCTTGCATGCAACAGGCCACTTCTTCACACTGCCCTCCGTTCTATAGATAGTCAATATCACTTTGCTGTGAATTACACTGGACATGTCTTTGGTCACCACATTTACACAGTGACACATCGCGAAAAGATGCTTGTAGTGGACCTGCTGGTGTCACACTGACACACACTTGTTAAGTGAATAGACTGTATATAAAAGATGGCCTTGGCTTAACTGCTCTGCATTGGGTTACCTGGTAGCCATTAGAAATGGTAATAATAATAATCATCATCATCATCATCATCTTACTCTAATAGTTATAGTGTATATACACGTGTCTATTCCTATTATTCATTCTGCATTAAACCAAACAAATGATTAATAAATAGATGTATTTATTTTATATATTAATTATTTTCTTTGGTGTTTATGAATGTACAGTCATATAATGATGATCGAAAGAATATGATAAATTAACATAAATGTCTTTCTTTTAATACATAAGTGAAGAACCACAGGTCTGACAAAAACCGCCCATAGGGTGTTTTTTTTGCAAGGAACACCACCACTACTACTACTAATAATAACAATAATAATAAAAAGAATGATAATACGTGTGAATGTGAGTGTGAATGGTTGCCTGTCTCTATGTGTTAGCTCTGCAACAGACTGGTGACCTGTCCAGGGTGTACTCTGCCTCTTGCCCCCCTCCTCCCTCGCGACCCTGACAAGGATAAGCAGAAGAGAAGAGAGGGGAAGAGAGAAGAGAATGGATGGATGAAGATAACAATGACAATGAAACCAAGAATGGCCACAAGGGGGCAACTCTTGCCCTTAGCACCATTGCACTAAGTTCATTGTAAAGTTTCTGTTTCCTTATTCTTTCTTATCATTTTCGGTTATAACACCAAGAATGAAATTTGAAAATGCGTCACAAAATGAGTTTGTTCATCAGTTGGTGACATCACAGTGGCTATTTCCATCACATATTTTTTCAATATCCACTGATCAATGCCAGTCGGTTAAATCACTAAATGAAAGGAAATTTTACAAAATGAAACAAATCAGAATGAAAGCTGAACAAAACAAAGATCAAAACATAATACTCATGTAAGTAAAATATGATCTCTGGCACCACCTTCTTGTGACACCAACCTCTTAACGTGGACTTTGCTCCTCTTTGAATCATTTTGCTATCATTGGTGCATCAAGGCTCACATTCCAAAGTCCATCCCACGCATAATTTGAAGAAGCCCGCAGCACCCTGGGATGGCAACATACTGAATTAGCCTACAAGCCCTGCTCTGTTGGGCAAGTTTCAACATAACAAGGAAATCTAAAATACTGTATGAAAATTTGGTCCTGATCACAGTAATGAATATTTAACAGCAGTTCCCTGCTGTGGGCGTGAGAAGGACAACAGATGATCCAAACTTTCTGTGTTTTCTGGGATTTGCTCCTTTTTCTCCCCTCGGCTGAGAACTGTGATGTGAGCCAACCGACGTTTGCGTTTCCACATTCTGTTCCACGCTGACTGAATCAAACAGTATGTGCAGAGACAGTGTGGAAGGCAGCGCTTCCTCCTCTCACTCCAGGAAAGCCAAACAAGTGTGTCTGCACGCGTGCACACACACACACACACACACACACACACACACACACACACACACACACACACACACACACACACACAGAAACAGAGAGAGCAAGACAGAACAGCAAGAACAGGTCCCTGAGCAATTTTGTGTGTGTGTGTATCCTGATAAATTCCAGTGTGAGACAGAGACACACTGGTCACCTAAGATGCATAACAATGAATCTAATGGCGACAACGTGGTAGTTTTCCTCTATTTTTATGACTTTGCAGAATAAAAAAAGCATGCTTCTTTCCTTTTCAAGTGCACACAGTTCTTTGTATAAATGAAGAAGAGAAAGTAACAATATAAAGGTCCCTTTCTCAGTTTGTCTTTATCCCATTTCTCCTACTTTTCTTTCTTGCTCATATATCCATGTGCCAGCTGGAGCTTCTTTCTTTCTTTTCGTCACCCTCGTCTTTGTGTAGGATCACATGTGCTTTCTTTATCTTTGCTTGTTTTAATGGCTGCTCTGAGTTCTTCTCCCACTGACGGTGCAATGTAAAACAAAGCTTCTCCCGTCACGGTCACTTGGGACAACTGTGACAGATAAAAGCAGCTAAGCCACTTCTTCAGCAAAAGCTAAAAGACCCGAACCTCCTCAATCTGATAATGTGGAGCTGGAGCAGTCAACGTGGAAAACATTGATTCAGCTTTGGGTTTAGTCCAGGTTGGTGTAAATCACCGCCTGTAGACAGGGAGATTTTTCCAGCTTATGACTGAAAGACAAATTTTATGTATTGCAATATAGATCACACAGATCGGTCTTTGAGGCTGCCGGTTTTAATAGTGTTTACTTTTATAAACCAAACTGTAAATGGGCTCAAATATGTAAAGACGGATCTGAGATTTCCCATTAAGAATGAGAATTTCTGTTTTTTACAAGGTTTAGAATTTATGCTCATAGCATCCACACCGAGGGGCAGACACTCAGAAGAAAGGAGCATTTTAGTGGGCTGATTGGCTTGCAGAAGGCAGGGAAGAAAACGATTGGACCAGAGTGATGATAACAGAATTTAGCTTGACAGCGTGGAAACGAGGAAGTGATGTAAAGAGCCTGCAGCAGCCCGAGCAACCAGGGATGCAGGGGTTGGATCAGTGAAGGCTAATACAAGATGTCCTAATCAAATTTACTCATAAGATTCACTATGAAAGAAA